CACAACAAACACACCACACAATCACACACACACACACAACTACCCCAGCGCAAAGACAAACACATCACACACATCAACTTTCCAAAAACAAACACATTACACTCAACCTCCCAAAACAGACACATCACACTCTCCACACACACATCTCCACACACACACATTAATTATATTTTTCACACACATCTCCACACTCTCTTATTTCTCCCCACATTCACCCCAAAACAGTTTACCACACCCCAATTTTACCATACAACACCACAATCTAATTTACCATACATAATTACACACCAAACATACAATTCTTCACCACACCCAAACATACAATTCTTCACCACACTAATCACACCCAAATTTCACACACAAAAATATTTTTAAAAAATAACACACCATATTAAAAATATGTATAAGCGAGAAAAGAAACAAGGTGAACAAGGAGGAAAGTGAGGCTAGACGAGAGAAAAGCACTCGTCCAAAAATCGGCCAAAACGACGTCGATTTGACCGAGCTAGAGAGTGCTAAAGTCTGAGACATCCCACCACGACTCTTACAGCGCTACCCCGAACCCCGCCGCCTTGCCCTTCTTCTTCTTCTTGCCGCCCTTCTTGTTCTTCTTCGGTTTCGCAGCGCCGGGCGCGAGCTTGGCGCGCTCCTCGGGTCGCGTCCTCAAACCCGCGAGCTCCGCCTCCGCGGCGAAGACGGCGACGGGGTCGTCGCTGACGAGGTCGGGCACGTCGAGGACGTCGAAGAGGAACTGGAGCGCGGCCCGCTCCGTGTCCGTGAGCTCCGGGTGCCAGACGCGGAGCATCAAAATGTAGCGGTACTCGTCCGAGTCGTTCACGGCGTCGTGGAAGATCGACATCAAACTCTACGACCCGGCGCACGCGTCCCCGCCGAGGCGCAGCTCGCACGCGCGGTACCGCTCGCCGGAGACGAGATCGCCGTTGCCTGCGATCATGGGGTCCGAGCCGCCCTGGGCCGCGGTGACGAAGAGCGCGAGGTTCGGGTCCGGCACGAGGCCGACGCGCTTGTCCTTGCGCGCGGGCTGGAGGAAGTGCGCGCAGCGCGCCTTGACGAAGCAGCACCGCGCCGTCGCCTCGTCGTCGACGACGACCTCCACGGGCCGCTCGGGCCAGGCCGTCGCCGTGAGGTTCGGCGGCCCGGTCACGGGCGCGACGGCGAACGCGGACCGGACGCGCTTGCCCGCGCTGCCGGCGAGCATCCGCGAGACGAGATCGCGCGGGAACTGGTCCGGCGCGGGCCGCGGCAGGAACCGGTGCGGCGTCACGAGGGAGTTCCGGCCCGCGTCCGTGAGCGACCCGAGCAGCGCG